TTGCAAATACTTGTCCACTGAAACACGCTTAAATCATTATAAAGGATCTCGCAAGTCACTAAATATCAGTTCAAAACAAGATCTGGGCGCTTACACAACATACAATTCAACATCACAAAAAAAAAAACGTTCAGAAAAACGATAGGAAAAGCAAGCAAGAAATACGTTACATACTAAACAATAGTGTTGGGATTCTGGAAAAGAGTTCAACGTTACACAGTGTCAGTTACAGTGCCCAGCAAGCGGTTCTCTACACATGACAATACACAAATAGCTAAAGTTCTAATTCAAAGTCTATATAGCATCTCCTCTTTTTGTCACGTTAGTCCAAGTCGTTCTTTATCATCATCTTGTCTTTAATGTCGCTCAAGTATTGATTATTCAGTCCTATTCGATACTCGTCCTTCCGAAGGGGCTCCGAAGTCTTCATGTCTTAAGCGTTGTTCATTGGTATGATTCGAGTAAAGTCGTTAGTCGTCAAGCGCAGTTTCTGAGTCGTCTGTGCCATCGAGCTGCTAGTTCGGTTCGCAAGAAAGACACACCTTCGCCATTTCACTTTTCTTCACAGGATGTCAAAGTGTGTTAAACACCTGCCCGGGATCTCCACTCACATATCAGGGGGGAATTCTTCTCCGATGGGGTTCTCCACACGTGCCAGGGGGGAATCCTCGTCTCTCTATCGCGTCCCCTTGAGGTACGGGACCGGGAACGTCGCTTAAACTGTTACAGTCAAATAGACACACACAACGAAATACGTTTCAACTCTCGTCTTAGTCGGTCAGTCGAGTACTCTATAAGACACAGCGCCCTGGGGAAAAGTCCCCCAAGACAGTGCTCCAAGAAGGTTGATCATACACCATCTAAAATTTAATTACGAATTTGAAAATCACCAAAGTTGAACAATATTGCAACATTAGAGTACACAGAATTGGCTGCCATATTGATGCAAATTTTCAAATCATGCAATTCAAGAACTAGAAGACCAACAAAAAGCAGTACAATACGACCTTACATGCCAAAATAAAGAAATTCACAAAGTTGGAAGCTGTTAAATCAACTAAACAACAAACTGCTATGTACACCATTAAAGAAAACTATATCATGTCCATAGACAAAACAGTGCAACTTAACAAAAATACGCAGTTACAGTAGGTCAAGAAGTTGTATCATCAAATGTGCAGAGATACGAGTATATGTGTGACAACATATACTAATCTGATGAAAGATGAACTAGTAAAGAAAGAACAAAAAATAGAGCGGAAACTTGTCATCCTGTTTAGTTACTATATGATAAAAGTAAAACATTCGTTTACTCGATGCTCATTGGGATGAGCACGAGCATGCTTTGCAGTAACTGACATACGTCGTGGTCATGTCTGTCTTGCCGAACGTGAAAGATGGACGTGGTGAACGTCATTATCCTATGTCGACGGTGATTTGAGGGCCCCAGTTTGTATTTTTTCAAATCACAGTGACTGTGTTCAAATACAGTGAATGAACAAGAAAACCGACGTGTTAAACAGGAATGCTTCATTTTACTTGTAATGCACGAGCAGTTTTCAGTTTAAAATTCTCATGGGAACTGTCACTTGAACCACGGTTCTAGGAACCGTGGTTGAACAGTGTTAGTAGTGCAACGCTTTGTATGGCGCGGGTTACTTGTCAATGTGCAAGTAATAGTCGTTTTGTTACACAAAATCCTGAAAAATCAATATTGTTTACAGTCCCTCTATCCGATAGAGGGACTGTGATCTGAATAATGAATGCGTCATTTGTTTGTTTGTTGTCTACTTGTTATGATAAACACGTGAAGTGCTGTGCCCTGACAGCAACGACATTTTAAAAACAATCTGACACAATCCAAACCAATAGTTTTCAATATTTTTTTAGTTATCGATTCAAATTTACAGTTTTCAGTTCAAAATTTAAATTGAAAATCCCCAGTAACTGATGCAGAAAGTGGTAAAACATGTGTGTCAACCGAAAAAGTAGATGCAAAATGTTTTCAGCTATTTTAAATTTATGTATTGATTTAAATTTTACCGGAGCTGGAGAGTCTAACCGATATTTATTGAAAATCGACGCTCATTAACTTATTACTTCACAAAAGTGAAGTTCAAAGAGAAATCACCAATCTTATGGCCCATTCATCCATTTATTCAGTTTAGTGAGTAAACTCATCAATTGAGGATTACGTCATTTGTTTGTGTCTCTCCAAATATTATTATAATATTTCACAGGGATATACATTTCGATCACATTGTTAATAAAAATAAATGCCCAGGGCTTTAAAATTACAGTATGAGCCATGTACAGTTATACAAAGAAGCGCCAATGCACAGATAACTAAGGCTGTAAATTTACAGTTAGCCGCACTTTCTGAGCATCGACTGGACTGTGTCCAACACGCCATCAACGGCAGTAATGAGTCGAGAATTTGAAAAGCCAAGGTTGCAAATGCATAACGTGAGCAAATTAATTGTATACAAAAGAACGTCAATAAATAGATGACGAGATCTGTACGTTTTTAGCATGACCCAATATATGCATCAATGGCCATAATGGTTATAATTGGTAGTACTGTTATACATAATGCTACTGTTAATAAGAAACATAAATTTAAACGTATTAAGGCCAGACTTTTTTATTCCTTGTTTCGCGAGTTTTTATAAGGCATTTTTTTTTATTTTGAGGAGAGCGGAAAAAAAAAAAATTTTTTTTTTTTTTTTCATTAGATTTGTGTGATTCTCAAAGAATTGTAAGTGAGATCATTGATCGGAGAGAAGAAATGAAATAAAATGTTATTCCATGTATAACCTTGTTTCTCATCTGCGCGAGACTTCGGTACTTTGATCATGATACTCCCACAAAAATGCAACATTGATTTGTTATGCGGCGGGCGGTAAAAAAATAAATATAAAATAATATTTTTTTAGCATTTTTTTGCGCTTACAAGTCCGCCGGCGCGAGAAATTACGCTGAAATGAAATTATATTTTTGTTTCATTTTCGGCTCCTGTTCATTCGGCGGGTTCGCGAAACAAGGGATAATAAAAGTCTGGCCTAAACAAGGCATACTCTTTATAAAGATAAAGTGTAGTGAAAAATGCACAGACTGTTTTATAGCCCATTTAAGTGTGCCTTTGTTGCTCGTGATACCATATTTGTAAATTTTTCAATCCTAACATTTTTAGAAAGCGTGATAAATATCTTACTATTTCTAAGCGGAATGCTTGCAAACATAATATACAGCGTTTAGGCATTATACAATTACAACACGGAGTAATTTTAAATAGTATTTTAACGCAATTCCGGATACCGGAATTATGTTTTTTAGGGTTTGCCCTGGAATCATGTCTTTAAATGCTTGAGTGTTTTCTTTCAAGGGGCACAGATCGAGATATGCAAATTTATAATGGGCGGAACATGAATAGAGTAAATCTTCGGAAGTCTTCTTTTCGGAACTTATGGTAAAAGAGTTATAATTATAATACAACAAAATAGCAACTATAACTAAAATACAATTATCATTTTCTCAAAAATTAGACTGGTCTAACCTAATAAATTTATTAGTGGTCGGAGGTCTAACATGTAGGCGTGAGAGGCGCCCTCGCCGGCCGAACAGCATCAGCCCCACTAACTGTCTCAACTGTCTTGGGTTTGGAGCACAGCGGAGGGCGCAACCCACGCGAGCTTGTCGGGCTACCCTCGGGGCGGACATCCGGGCGTTTGTCACCGCTTGGCAACCCTCGCGGTGAAAACAAAGGCCAAAAACTCGTAGAAAACGGTACTTTTGGATGGTTGTTGAGACCCCCTGAACAGTGTAACAAGATTAGCCCTATATGTGTAACATATGTAAATTTGGTTGTTCAGAATTACTTCAAAGTTGAGTTTGTGTTGTTTTCTCGAATTTTCACAGGCTCGACCGGCGTTCCACAGCAGCGCACACAGGCCCCATAGAAATACATGTACAGTGGTGCGCGCCTTAGCAACGTGGAACGTCTTGTGACGTAGCTCCGCCCCCAAAGATATATTACCCTGGAGTACAATTGATTTCAAAATGAATACTAGTAAATTCCGGGTAGGTGTCTACTTTAAAATAGACGATCTACTTTAAAGACAAAACCTAAATAATTATTGCTCCATTCTGCCCTTTATTTGGAGTGCCACCTAGCAACTCACACACTATATAGGTTTTATCACAATTTTTCTATCACAGAGAGACTGTGGTTTTAAATAGGTGTCTAAACGTCACTTGAATAAAATCTATATCTAGCTAAAGCGTTGTGTGAGCTATATCCAAAAATAACTGTTAATTATAGTACGAGTTTAAATTTAAATTTTGACCCGACACTACCAAAACTCTGTGATGATACATGAGTCAAACATATCGTTCTGAAAACTCTTAGTTTGGTTGTTTTGTATATAATTTTATTTTTTATAAATATTGGATGCACGACCTTTTCTATTTTATATCCTGCAATAACGATTAACATTAATAATAATAATACCCTAAAACTAGAAAATAAGTCGGGAGCATACCCCGGTCGGCCCTTCTAAATCCGAACTTGGAACACGGTCTGTAATCTGCCCCGTCCTCGTGTAAATATAAATGGTCTGTCCCTAACACGTAAGAAATGGCATGCGCAGTACAAGATGCGCAGCTAATGTATTCTGCAATCATGGCGACTCGTGCACTACGAAAGATGGTAACGTACAAAATTATAGTGAAATTATTGCACTTTCTTAATTAACTGCTTGAATATTGATACTATTGACACGTGTGGCATGACTGTTTAATACCGTACCAAAATTATCGTCAAAATATGTCAAGAAACGGTTGGTTTCACTGATACGACCCGCTTCCTGTACCGTACATGTACACTACCGGTACTGTCAGTTCATGATCACAAGAAAAACGGTTTTAACCATGTGTAGAGACCGTTACGTACATGCAATTTTTCTGTGGTTTGTCTTTGTATTGTATACAGAACTGATGTCACAGAGTATGTAGTGGACAAGAGATGAGAAAATTAAATGACTAATTTTTGTCATTGTAAAAAATGTCACCACATATATGCAGTTCCTGATGAGGGAATATGCCACATGATAACATGTTGAGAAAGAATATGAGGTTATTACGAGAAGTATGCACGAATGCAGTACTGTGATCGTATTGATTGACAAAGAGCAGAGGTGCATTACTGTACAGCCTGAGTGCATACTTTGCAGTATTCCCGTGATAACCTTATCCTCGGGGGCTGAGCTACGTCACAAGACGTTCCACGTTGCTACGACGCACACCACTGTACATGCATTTCTATGGGCTCTGTGCGCGCTGCTGTGGAACGCCGGTCAAGCCAGTGAAAATTCGAAAAAACAACACAAACTCAACTTTGAAGTATTCCCGAACAACCAAATTTATACATGTTACACACGTAGGGCTAATCTTGTTACACTGTTCAGAGGAGTCTCAACAATCATCCCAAAGTACCGTTTTCTGTGAGTTTTTGGCCTTTGTTTTCACCGCGAGGGTTGCTAAGCGGTGAAAATGCCCGGATGTCCGCCCCCGAGAATTATTATACATATTTCACCTGCTTGTAGTAATAATTTAATGAGAGGTAACGGCCTGAGATAGCAATAAAGAGTGTTTCAAACTGTGTGAATGTTTGTGTCACACACTGATAAAGCTTCTGTGTCTGAAGTAAATAAAGTTTTTAGTTTTCGAATGTGATGTAAACGTGACGCATAATTTCCAAGTACGAAAAACATTTAAACACTACCGTAACATACGATTTACAGTTTGATAAATTTTGTTGTTTTTTTGTGTCGGATGTATAATAATGTACTGTACTGACTAGTGCAGTAATATCCAAGGCACAATTGATTTTATTACCATAGTATTCTTGTCTCTGGCTGTTCAAGTAGTCTTTTAACCTGTTGCACTGCTTGATAAATCATTTTCAATTTTTCATAATCAGTTAAATCTTGTCAAATTTTTGTTGAAGTTCTTGATCCTGGACGCGGGTCGGGATTAGTGTGGTGGTGGTACTTGCTTTGATTTTTGGTTGGAGTGCTCCACAGCCAGTTGTATTTGCTCTATTAGTGTCGCCTAAGATTTATAAAATAAGGGTATGCTATTTGATATCTGCGTGTGGTGATATGTTAATGATATGAAAATCACATTGGCATGCACAGCAATCAAATATATTTCTAACCATTGGTGTCACAAAATGCTATGGATGCTCAGAAAGGTTAAATAAACCACTTTCATGACCTCTTAAGGTCACATGTCCTGTTGGTATAGAATTAAAACATAAGTTTATTTTATTGATATATTTCAACACAATTTCCTGGACTTGATTATTTGTTCAAGCTGCTTGAGTAAAATGTTTCTGTTAGAAACAAAAAGATCTTATACATATTCTCATTTGCAATAGTATTTATAGAAATATTAGTTTTTTTTTCATTGCATATCACACCTGTTAAATAGTCTCATCTTATAAATCCTTAGCAGCATGCTTTGACATAAATGACATAGGTCTACTCTTAGGTAATGTTACAAGGTCTACAGCATAAAACGTTCCATACATAATTTCTACTGGGAAGCTCATCAAACTTAGTTTTCACATTATCCATAATAATTAAGCAATGATGTAAAAATATAGGTGAAAGACCTCTGTAAACTATCAAAGTGCATTGTGGGACAATCCATACATAGTGTTTTACGATTGGTGTAATTTTCTGATTATACAGCCGGAACGCAGCCCACTGTCATAGAGGGCGCTTATTAGACATATGTCACGTGTCAAATTTTAGATGTTGGCTATAGAATTACGTATTTCCGATAGGCCAGCAAAACTGTTATTTTGAACACCGTAGTCTTTGAAAATTTGAAATTTTCTGCCATATATGATGAAATCTAGTTCTTATGTGCTAAATTGTGCGCTTGATTCGGGCCAGCAGTATTTTTAGAATCTCCACACATCATTTGTCCTCGTCGTTAGCGAGAGGAAAATGGGTCATCGGAGCGAGTTTTTATTATTCATAACGCTATATCTTCGCATGTAGATGGTGTTGCACGATAAGTAAGACATCGTTAGAAAGCCAAATATGTCGACTTTAAGCTCAGTGATTTTCTAAAAAATCGTTCTGCTTATAAGAAAATGTGACACTTCCGAATCTACGAAAGTAAAATGGTAGAATGTATCTTCATTTACTTGTACTCTAGGTTTTGATTTTTTTTACTAATGATGCATGATTTCACGCTATAATGTACTTTTACTTTTACTTGATAAATATCATGAAGTTCATATATCTCTTTTTTTCTGATTTGACTATGATGTGTTGTACTTGTTTTGTCGATTGTTTTCAGTCATTTGTTTTGTGTTCTTGTACTTGTAAATTTCCCTACACGACATCCGCCATATATTGTTTCCACTTTACAGAGCACACCCATTCCTCAATCGTAATATGCGTTTTTATGTTTCTGCCATATATGTTAACATAATAATTCAGTCAGTAAATTGATCATAAAGCCAAACTTTTTAGAATCTGCATAGTAACTAACACACATTCAGTGTTAGTGATTACACAATTTTAACACTAGCAACGACATGTTTCCTGGGTGCTCCCATGGAATTAGTGCCAAGATTATGTAGCAGGCCATTAATAATACACGGGACAATTAATATAACGAACAGTAAATGAAAGAACAGATAGAAATAGACAGCTATGCAAATGATGATAGAACGAATGTAATAAATTCAAAACAACCTCCAGTTTACAAGGTTATAAGGATAAATGTCATTTAAAAAAATGATTCTAATTTGTGTACACTCATTAGGACGTCTAATTCGGATCAAAAATTAACAGTGTTCAAATTTGCTACTGTTTCATCCTAACAACCTTTCAGGGTGAAACTGTAAGAGATGGATTTTCAAATACTAACACTGGAAGACGTAACATTGACTCGATCATAATTGTGATATAGCATGTGTTTTACTGGATTTTCGAAATGGGGCTTTGTGATTAGGAATTTCATTTTTTCATACACTTTCAATGTATCCGTATGACAGAAGACATTGTTATTTCATTATACATGTATTTTTAAATCCTTTTTATAAATACTGTAAAAGATTTCTGGGAGTTAAAGGGGGTACCCCAAATTTAGCTGAACTAGGACGTTACCCAGTTTTTACTAGTACATATATTAAATGTATCAAATGGTGGTTAAAAATTATTATGTATGTATGGAAGAAAGTAAGATTGCTAAGCAATCGTATCTTCTTTTAGTACGGGAAGATGAACGTGGTAACGCATATTCGAGATGTTTTGAATAGGTATGGATTTGGGATAGTGTGGATCAATCAAGGGGTGGGAAATGAAATTGCATTCCTTGCAAATTTTGCACATAGAATTAGGGACATGTGGCAACAGGAATGGTGGGAAGAATGCTCAACTATGAGCCGCCTAAATTTGTTCTGCCAGGTAAAACGACACTATACTGTAGAAAAATGTATTATCAGTGTAAGTGTGAACAAACATAGGAAATCTTTATCAAGGTTTCGTTGCTCGAGTCACCAATTAGCAATAGAATCTGGCCATATGCATAATGTAGATCGATTTGAAAGGAAATGTGTATTATGCAATAGCGGAATAATTGAAGATGAATTACATCTAATTTTCGAATGTCCCATATACCAAGCCTACAGAGACGAGCTATTGCCGCGTTGGTCATTACATGACCAGGGACACCACACTTTCATAAAATTAATAACAAGTGAGGTACCCATTACACTTTGTAATTTGTCAAAATTCCTGTGTCAAGCTTTTAAGTTAAGGTCAGAGGCACTAAAATTAACCACTTGATGGGCAGTATTTTATATTACAGTTCATTTATGTATTATTGTTGTTTTCAAGAAATGTAAACTTGAGATTGTGATGGGCCGGTTGCCTAGTATGGCAATAAAGTTTATTAAAATTTATGAAAATTACTGTTTTTGGTAACTCTAAAAATGTAACTTTATATTAGCCGGACATTAAGCTCAAGCTCCACACTCCAGAAACAAGCGCTGAGTAGTCAGAGCTAACGCAAACATTTTTTGAAGTTTACAATATACTCGACAAAAATTCGAGATTAAGAAATTTGAACTCAAGAAAATAAACGTGTACCATGTGTACACACATCACCGTGTATGTTAACCCATATATGAGGACGAATAAAACAAAATACACTGAAACCCTCAACTTGACCTCAAAACATCACAATACGATTAGTAGGCAATACTGGTCTCTTTAGTAAGGCTTCGGATTAAATTCGGCCAGAAGACAGCCAAACACTGAAAGATTGATCTCAAATATGCATTCAGAGACCGCTCTATAATCATGTCATGCTACGCCAACGCCATCAGTAGACAGAAAGTGGCTTGTCATACACGCCAGTGCAAAGGTCAAAATTGCAACGCCCGCTGAGTGTAGCACTTACATTTTTATATTAAATTATGAATTGAAACATATTTTTTGTCCTAGTCAAAACAGAAAATGAAAATGTTTTTATAAAAAAAATGCGACACTTACAAAAAACGCCAAACTTAATGTTTTGATTTTGAACGGTGAATCCGAAGGTCATTGTAAATTGCATGATATTTTAATACATATCGTTGATTTTTGATCGAAAACCTATAAGACAATGTTGCATTTGAGACCTGCATATTAGTTCATCGTTTTAAATTATGATTTTTGCCCAAGATTCTAAAATAGCACAAAAAGAAAATACCGCGGGAAATTACCACAACTTCCGCATTTATATAAAAACAGGATTTCATGCAGTTGGTGGCGCTATTCAAATTTAATAATCGTGTCGAATAACGGTCAAAACGCTTGGCTGCGTTCCGGCTGATACATAAACTATCCCATAATTTTGTGTGTGGCTGGATGCGTAACAAGATCTATGGCAACCAAGCCACATATAATAACCATCTGTTTCCCAATCAAATTGTCTGTTGTCATTTTTTATACTCACTTGTGTTATTGAAAAGTATGAAGAAAATTACAATTTCAATTCAGTCTAAAGCAGATTAAAGCAAACAATTAAATTGAACTCTTCTAAGATCATGTAACAGAATGTCTGTTATTTTTCTACTTCTTCAAAATACACATTTACACATCATGTATCACATGTTGTGATGCCTTTGTAAAAATGGGAAGTCAAAGGGGCAGTTGGTTATTGTTTGCTAGATGACTATAAAACATGATAAAAAAAAAAAACGTAACTACATCCCAAGCTGTCACCACTTGATAAATCAAGCCTTATGGGTTTTGTTGTGCTTCTATAGTATGTGAACATTTGTGGGATTATGTTCCTGCTTAGAAACTGTGAATAATAAAAACATGCACACAACAAATGTATTCCCTTCATTTAACACTTCTCCTCCTCAAATCATGCAGAAAAACATTGCATAAATCACTTTGCATCAAGAGTTAGTGAATGATCCAAAACATTCAACAAAGTTAATGATAAAGTTCCTGACTTTGACTGTTTTCCCACATACCCTCATAATTTTTACACCATAAAAGCTGATTGTAAATGTAAATAATATTGTAATAATATGTGCTTATTGTATTGCGTAAGTATTTTGTTATTATTTCTGTTTCATCATTGTCAAAGTATTGTGGAAATCAATGGCGACGTAACTACATGTAATTTCACATTTTTATTTTTGCCCAAAAGGCACAATATTCCTTTCATCATGTGAACAAAATTTGTCTTTTGGATAATTTATTGGTTGGGACTAAGTGTCTTCCCTCTAAAAACATACAAGCTAAAAACCACTGCGACATTGAGTTAATTTGTGTTCTATTATTTTTTAGATGACCGGTTTTGGACAAGTCCTAGCTGGCAGGAAGTCATATTCATCAGAGGTATTATTGTATACATTATAATGCTATCACAATTACAGTGCTGCACCTTGTAAATTATTATCTATTTGTTATGAACTTGGTCGAGGAGGACATAATTATGGTTATTAATATAAAAAAAATTAATTAGTGATTCATCATTGGTGAATTAATTTTCTTACAGAATTCTGTAAATGTATTGGAATCAAAATTCAATGTTAGAAAAATTCATTTGTATTCTTTTTGACCGACTACTGTGAATATCAGTTGAGCTTTTTTCGTTTATCTGGCCTGATCAATAATTAATTTTGTCCACAGTTTGCCACCAAGTTTCCAGATTCTTTATTGTGCTTGTGATTGCAGCTTAGCACACCGACTTAAATACAGATTTCCACATCTGTAATTATTAGTTTTTTCCAAACTATATATTTGATAGTATTACCAAATTGAAATATATATCAATAGTCTACTGTTCTCAGGCACTATTATTGAAGTTGCCGTGTTTAGTGGAGGGTGCCCTCATGTGACCATGTCAAGCTATATTATTGTTTCCTCTAGATAAGTGTATAATTGTCAGTAGTTATGCTTTAAATTTAATTCTTTACTCAGTCAAGTATATTTTTTTTATCAGGCTCGTGTTATAACTCTTATACCAGGTGATGGCATTGGACCTGAAATATCAGCGGCAGTACAGCAAATATTTAAAGCTGCAGAGGTAATATACCCATCACTTATTTCTTATTGGATCGATATATCATGTACAGTAAACCTTAAATTAAAAAATATGTAAGCCAGAAACCTGTTTTACAGTTGCTTCTCTATATTCTTGTTGATAAAAAAACTTTGGTTTATATGGCACATTGCTGAAAACAAACAAAAATTTCTTTGGTTTTTTAATTTGTGAAAGATAAGGAAGGAAAAAGTAGGTATGTGCAAAACTAGTAGCACTGAGTCCGTGCCTCTACTTTTCTACAATGCCTCCAAATGTCAGTATTTTCCTGACTGATCTTGATTTAAATATTTCTTAGGAACACCAATATTTCAATTATTCTTTCTCCACTGTGTTATTTTTAGCTGACTTTCACTACAGGTAATTTGCAATGCAATTTAATTTTAATTCTAATAAAAATAATGTAGGTGATGCAAAATCATTTATATAATTTTTTTATGAAACACACATTTATATGATGAGAATAGAATTCATTTTTGACTGGTACATGTTCAGTGTTGTGACAATTAAATATCATTAGGTGCCTATTGAATGGGAAAGTGTGGATGTTACTCCAGTGAAAGGTCCAGACGGTAAATTTGGTATTCCATCCAAAGCTGTAGAATCCATGAATAAAAATTGTGTAGGTCTGAAAGGACCACTAGCTACACCCATTGGTAAAGGACATATGAGCCTGAACTTAGCACTTCGAAAGTAAGTTTAGTTTTATACCATATTTATAAGTACATCAGCATACAAATCCAAAATGGCTGACTGACGGTCATCTTGTTTAAACAAATGCAGTTCCATGGAGCCATATCTCATACATGGCTGGCCCAATCAAAACTGTCTGTTTTGATAAATTTCATAATTGTATACATTCTGAATTTTAACAATAGATTCTGCCACACTCCACCCATCTTCATATCTCATCATATTTTATTTTCAATGATGGTCAAACTGATATTTTCTTGGGATTCTTGCTACTTGACAGAGAATTTGATTTATATGCCAATGTAAGACCATGTAAATCAATTGAAGGCTACAAAACACCCTATGAGGATGTTGATATCGTTACAATCAGAGAAAATACAGAGGGAGAATACAGTGGCATTGAACATACAGTAAGTATCACAAAACACACTGTAAAACACTTTGAAATAGCTACTTGCTATGTTAGTGAATTCAGATCAATGCATGAATGAACTGAATCTTAATTTAGCCCAGAACGGGCAGTTTTTCAAGGTGTTATTTTAATTTTTTCCAATGCCTAAAAGTTTCGCTGTAGTCATTGACGCCTATTCAAAAGTATTGATGTTTATTGCAACTAGCATGAATGGGTAAGCTTCGTTACAACAATGAGCCATTATCGCTGTAAACAATGTTAAATTATTCTTTAAATGCTCAGTTTATCTTTTGAAAGCAACTAATTTTTTTATTTAAAAACAAATCATGTCGCTTTCCCATCATAATCCAAGCTAAAAGATCGTACAACAACATCAGCAAATCTCATCCGTGCTATGTTCAATACCATTAACATATTTAAATGAGCTATGGTAATTTGAACACGTTGGCATCATCCATAGTTTTCGTAAATTGTAGATTAGCTTCTGCAATAGTTTCTTTCGTTTTGGGAGGTCCAACTGTCGAGGTTGAAAATATAAGCGCCCCCCCCCCCCCAAATTTGATGATCATTTTTTGAAATTTTGAACCCCAAATAAGGGCCCACCAGCTGTGAAACCGATGGGCAAATTTACGGCAGAATCCGGTACTTGCAATTTTCTGAAGAATGTATTTTGTGAATCTTACATTCTGCCTTTATTATTCCTAGATTGTGGAAGGTGTTGTACAAAGTATTAAACTCATTACTGAACCAGCCTCTAGAAGAGTAGCTGAATTTGCCTTTGAATATGCCAGATTAAATAATAGGAACACTGTGACTGCCGTACATAAAGCAAATATCATGTGAGTGTAATTTCAGATTTATTTACTGAGTCTAGTGATTGAATTTGTTCAATGTCTTTTGCGTTACAGTGAAAAGTGAAAATTATTTGATTCTATGCATTTACGCCAAAACTGTTTTATTATTTTATATGTACTGTATATAGTATTGCCGTGTTTCACAGGCCTTGTGTCACAATTGAACTCCCCTTAGACATCAATGTCAAAACTTGAAAAGCAGAATATTATTATGCATAGAACTAATAAGTCATGTACCCCAAAATTAAAAAAACATGACATGAATTGTCTGCTTTGGGTAATTTCCATGCTCTTTATTATTGTTTTTAGGAGAATGTCTGATGGCTTATTTCTAAGATGTTGCAGGGAAGTTGCTGAAAAATATAGGGGCATCAAATTTAATGAAATGTATTTAGACACAGTCTGTTTACAAGTATGTTCATGAACAGTTATATTTAGTCATGTTTGAGTCAAGTGATTCTTGTATTTGGAACTGCATTTTGTTCTGTGATCCAACAGCATAACTGCTTCTCTGATCAGGATTTCTTGAAACTAGGATTGTAACTTACTGTACTGTGAATTACTTTTAGCTTGAATTTTTTCTGACAAAAGCTTTTGAGACTGATATAAGTAATTATTTTCACTGGTTTAGCACAAATTGAATGCAATCTATATAGGAAAATGTATTTTAATTTTTTTCCACTGCACAGCACCCTCTGTTTATGAATGATGAAACCGTATGTGCCGAAAATATTTTTACTAACTGCTTCATTTTTGAAAAAAAAAACATTATTGCAATGCCTTAGAGTGATTCAATTTAACTCTGAAAGAATACAAGTTCAAGTGAGGCATTTACTTTTAACATTTTCGACTTGATAAAATTATGAGGAAAAAGTCTGGGTATTTGAAGGACATGAATCCATGGGGAGGTAACTAGCATCCAGTGCAATAAGCACAGAGTACAGATAATCATGGTGCATGTCAATGTTTGTGATTCTTGTTTCAGATGGTCCAAGATCCCACAGAATATGATGTTTTAGTCATGCCAAATCTCTATGGTGATATTCTCAGGTAGAAATGCTAACTTTTTGTCTTTTTTTAATGCTTGACTACTTGATCTCTACTGAAATTAAGTTACCTCAGTACATATGTTTTGAATACAGTATTCCTTTGTATATTAGAATAATATCTATAAATCGTATTTAAGATAGGAACAGGTAGGTAGGTCGGTCTAATATTTCTTGCACAATACTCTGAAATATTTTAGTTGGAATTTATTGTTGCTGAAAAGACTTTTTCGGTGTTTTGTAGTAAGTTTATTTTCACTGATTTTTGATGCATTGAATGTAAAGTATAGAAAAAAAACATATGTTCACTGCATTTTATTAGGCCCTGCTCGAACGAAGTTTGAAACAGGAACTTATAATTCGGTCTCCATCTGTCCATCCGTCCGACCTTCCGTCCGAAGTCGTATTTCAGTTCGGATACAAAAAATGCTTCAATAGGATATCCTGTTTAATTCCTGACCCTATATTACATATTTACTAGATGTATTTATTAAGTACATCTAATTTCAGTTGATACTAGACCAGCCAGTTATTCACTCTAAATGATGAACTATGTTTTCGGCCCATATTACCTTTTTGAGACGGAGACTATTGTCATTAACAATGACTTGTTTTCACTGAATCACCCCTTCAGCGAAATTAAAGTAATTTAAAGTACATGCTTTTTCTATTGTTGGTTCATGTACGCTACCATATTAATTAAAATTATATTGTTCTATTATAGATTTGATTATGATTATGAATTGTTATACATTGCTATACATTGCTTTACAGTGATTTATGTGCTGGTCTTGTTGGTGGTTTAGGTGTAACTCCCAGTGGAAATATTGGTGCTGGTGGTGTTGCTATATTTGAATCTGTAAGTTGAAAATAGTGAGTTTGCGCATTATAAATAAAAGATGTCACAAGTCCGAAAACATCTTGTGTGTAACTTACTGTATCGCTCGATGAGATGTATGAGTTGAAGTGTTTCTTAGAGTCAGTCAAATTGATTTGAATAATTAACTTTTACCCAGAAGCTAAGATCTAATCATGTTTGAACACTGCTCAAGTGTTGTATAAATAAAATTTTTTCTTTACATATAAGGTACATGGAACAGCTCCGGACATCGCAGGTCAGGACAAGGCTAATCCCACAGCATTATTGTTAAGTGCCGTTATGATGCTAAGGCATATGCAATTCAATGATTATGCTGATAGAATAGAAAAGGCTGCGATGGATGTTGTTAAAGATCCTGATGTAAGTAAAAGTCTTCAGGGAGGTGTTAGCATTGTGTCTTGACTTCTAGGGAATGGAAGCTATTAAATGTCATTTATCTTGGTATGTTTGCCTTTCTCTCTGAGTCATCAGTTTCAAATGACCGGAACTGTTTTCATCAAGTATGCAACACCAATCTAGCTCCCTATCTTGTTGTATATATACCATGTAAACTATTGGGTAAACTTGTTATGGCAAACTAAATGTGTAGATCAAGGTGCCATTACATACCATAACCACTCATTATGTATGCATTGACTGTCACCTGACGATGGCTTGTCTTAATACTCAGTACAGCATTGACTTCTAGAATAGTCATATGATGTACAGTAATCATGGTTGAAATTTTACAGCACAAATCAAAAAAGTATTGTGCATGTTGATACAAATGGTTGAATACTGGGTATTGATTATTGTTACCTTATTATTGCAGTATCGCACAGCTGATCTTGGAGGGAAATGTACCTGCACTCAATTCACCAATGAAATATGTCGAAGAGTTCAATTAAATGATTGAGTTATCATATTTTAATGCATATTTATACTGAATTCAAGACATGAATGAAATATAAAATAATGGTGCTGCACTTTATATACATATTCAACAACACCTATTTCACCTTGCAGTGTAAGCGTAACAATTCTGATATTTTTTTCCCCAACTATTAAACTTTAAAGTTTCTAGAAAGGATATTTTTGTTACAAAAAACATAAATGGCATACCCATACTTGTGCCAAGTTTGATTAACTGCAAAGGTCAGATGGCGAATTTGTGCCTTGCATTCCCTGTGTTGATCGATTTCTAAACCCTTCTGTTATTTTCTAGGAATATGTGTAAATGTAAAATGTTTAAATTTGTTCCTTAATATGGATATAAAGATAGCACCAATGAATAATGGTACTGCCACACTGATCATTTTTAATACCAAAAGACTTGTGGCATGATTACAGCAAGACCATTTTTAACTGCCAATATAATCATTTCCTTCAGTGTACTGATTCAAGTTGCTTTAATGGAAGCCAATTCCGATATTACTGTTTGTTTTTTATTTATATCCATTGAGCTTAACATAAACACCACCATATACCGTTTTTGTTGACCATGTCCAATATAGCTTATTCTTTAAAATTGTTTGAAACTAAATAAAAATTGTGTTTATTTGTGATTATTTTTGTTATTGAAAAATGATTACTATTCCAGCAACCAGGCTGGTTACCCAGTAAATTATAACAGTGGTTTTACAAAATATTGTGTTGATTGCTATCGTCTTTGCTCTGCAAATTGCAGTGGTGCTTCCAGGATCAAAATAAGTGATATTTTAATAATTCAATATAAATGCAAATTTTGGTTTACATGTGCTTCTAATAGAGCATAGATGGTATTGCAAAATGACCACAGTGTAAATACATTTCAAATACACTTACAACTATAAAATTGTCATGTATCAAGCTGTTTATATTCTCCATAATCAAGTTTCATCATGTTTTACACATTGTACTCTCTTCACATACAAGTCAAACACCATAATTAAAAACAACTGTATTTCCACAAGTCAGATGCAAACAATCGTTTACTTGTGCCAGAATTTTTACATAGTTCTCTTGTCTTTTATTTATGTTAAGAATTTATGTATTGTGTATATTCATGTAATATAATCTTGCTGTGCATTGCACTTTGTTTAACCCAATTAAAGTCTCCAAATATGAATTGATTGTGGTGTCCTGTCTTTTTTTTGCAAGTTTTCAGATATCTCAATATCATCTTGAACAGATTAGCTAATCAATGAATCTTCTAAAGATTAGCCAAGTACTACTTGCTAGATTCTAACCTAAATAATTTAGTTTATACTGTAAATCAGTGGTCCAAGCATTTATCCATTGCATTATTTTTCAGATTAGGTGCGATTTAATTGAAGATGGCCATCTGGCAGCCATAATTTGCTTATATCACAAAATTCGTCTACTCAGAGTATCTAATCCTTTCCATAGAACATGCCCTGAAAATTAAGGATCTCAAATGTACACTTGTTAGTTAGGTATGCAGACAATGGTCAACTGGTAGCCATTTTATTTGACAAAATTCAGCTAATTTTTCTGTTTTTATGGGAGTCTAATGTTTATATTAGACGATATTTATTGACACAACTATTTGCATATTCATGAGCGTCTTTATATTGCTACG